GTTGATATGTTGATACCGGTGAGAGAGAGAGAGATCAGTCCTGCCTCCTGTGTCCAACTGAACCAAGGGGTCATAAGTAAGCCATCTCCTTTACCACGGCGAAGGGGGTGAACAACAGTACATTTGGTTAGGATCACAGCATCAGTGGCTGGGCTCCCCTGACGGACATAACTTTTACCTCCCCCCCCCTTTTTCAACCCCTAAGGGAAACGGAGGTTGGAGGGGGGGGTGAGACGTGATTCCCCGACTTTACCCCCTTTGACCTTTATCCAGATCTCAGACCCCCACTCGCTGAAGGGAAAATATTTTATACCCCCTTTTCTTCTCGATCACGTGAAGAATAGGCACCCCAGCTAATTTAAATGGATACTTAAACACCTTAAACCTAACCCCCCCCCAAGGTAGTGTTAGGGTGCTTAATCATCAGGTGAAATAAACTGAGGTGATTAATCTTCAGGTGTGTTTTTTTTTCTGCGACAAGGTAGACAACTGCCTGGTCATCGTGAAGGCTGGGTGCTGGGTGGTAGTACACCTTTAGTTGGTAGTGTCCAAGGGAAGGTTGGGGGGTGGGGGGGAGATTGATAGGTAGGTGTAGTGACAGACGGGAGTACAATAGTATAATACTTTTCTCCTGGACTTGGTGTACGCGTGTGTATGTATGTATGTGTGTAGAAACGCTGTTGGAGGAGATAAAGAGGTTGATAAATATACATAGATTTGTATTCCTTGATATGTATACTTTGACGTGTGTGTGTGTGTGTGTGTGTGTGTGTGACCAGAAAGACACAACCACTTAGATAGAAACATCCACTTAGAGATAGCTCAACACTTAGGAGATTCACATAAGGAAAATGTTGAACTTGAGAGAGAGAGAGAGAGAGAGAGAGAGAGAGATAATATGGCGGGACAAAGGAATGCCTCTCTAGTTTATGGTGAGGCGGCCTGCTACTACCCCTTTAGTTGGTAGTGGAGGATAGGTAGATGGATAGGTTGATGGCTTGATCGATGGATGGGTAAATTTATAGATAGATGGATAGATGAATATATAGATAGATGGATAGATGTACTATACAGATGAATAAATTTATAATATTGATATATAGGTGGATAGTTGTATATATAGATGGATAGATATGGAGAATGATGGGTAGGATATGTAGAAGGATAGGCAGATAGAAGGTAGGATAGATAGATTGATGAACAGAATGACACTTGAGACTTTGTCAGAGATGAAGACAGACCTGGGTGGATAGACATGGTTAGGTAGACAGAATTGGTTGATAGACATGGATAGGTAGACAGACACAGGGATATATAGATAGATTAAGTAGATAGACATGGATTGGTAGACAGGCAGACAGGGATAGATAGATAGATAGATTAGCAGGACATAGATAGATAGACACAGGATATATAGATAGATTAAGTAGGAGACATGGATTGGTAGACAGAATTGGTTGATAGACATGGATAGGTGGAGACACAGGATATATAGATAGATTAAGTAGATAGACATGGTTAGGTAGACAGAATTGGTTGATAGACATGGATAGGTAGACAGACACAGGGATATATAGATAGATTAAGTAGATAGACATGGATTGGTAGACATAAATAGTAGATAGAGAGATGTAGTTAGTTGATGGAGATGGCCTGACTTACGGGCAGCCAGGGAGACAGATTATCTCTTAGTAATAGAGACGGCGTAAGGGAATCTGGCCAAGGTCCCGACTCTGGTGGCCGGTCGGGGTGGATGATGTGTTTACCTGTGTAATGGACTTGTCGCCTGGCCCTGTGTGTGTGTGTGTGTGTGTGTGTGTGTGTGTGTGTGGAGGGGGAGAGATATGGAGATGAAAAACTCTCTCTCTCTCTCTCTCTCTCTCTCTCTCTCTCTCATATATATATAATGACAGGGTTCCCACGGGCCAGATAGAGAGACAGTTTTCCATCCCAGGTCCACGATGGGAATAACTCCGGATCACCTGCCATGATATTGTTGGGGGAAAAAAGTTAAAATGAGGATCTTTTTAATTGGATGAGTGACGAGGGGTTTCTCTCTCTCTCTCTCTCTCTCTCTCTCTCTCTCTCTCTCATTTTTTGCACCCCACCCCTCCCTCACCCACTCACATGACGAGACAGAAGAGTTTATAGGTTATTGTGTATCCATCTTTAATGAACAATTGTGGGAGGCTACGATTAACAAATTCATTGGCCAAGCTTGGGGTACAGTTTACCTAACGAGTAATTCAGTGAGGTCTTAACACTGAGGGTGCTATCACTTCACGGCCACGCAAGACAGAGGTTCTCATACACAAAAGAAGTCATATTCTATCCAAGGGCTAATCAGTGTGGTGCTAGCAAATTTTGGTTAGGCAGCAAGTATGTCCTCAAGCACTCCTGATTGTGTCATGAACTATGTGATTACTACATTGTTGGAGGGGTGAGGGGGTGGTGGGGGTGGTGCAGGAGAGGAGGGAGGGAGGGGAGAACTGCAGCACCACCAACTCCTAGCAACACTAATTAAATCCCCTCCTACTGCTTAATTACCTCCCTGCCTAGTACACCGCCGCGGCAGTCTTCCCTCCCCCTTCCTCCTCCATTCCCCTTTCTGCCTTTGTTTCCCCTCTCTCTCCCCCTCTTCATCATTCCCTCTTGGTTATACAATATATACTCTTCTCTTTCTACGCATCGTGTCGTCTCTCTCTCTCTCTCTCTCTCTCACACACACAGCTTAGTGGCATGTACCAGTTCTTATTTCCACCCCATTCCCTCTCTTTCTCTCTTTCACCCTCTTCTTTCGCATATCCCTATCCTTCTCTTCTTCCCTCTATACTTTTCCCTCCTCTTCCTCCTTACCCCCTCATACTACCCTCTCTTCCTCATCCATCCCCTCCTTTTACTCCTCCTCCTCTCTATTCTCTTTTTTCTTTCTTTCTCTCCCTCCCATCCTTATTTTCACTCTCCTCTCCCCTCCCTTCCCCCTTCTTTTTCTCCCTTCCCGTGCTCTCCCCACAACTTTCTCTCCCCCTTTCTCCCTCCCATCTCCCCTTTTTTCTCCTGACTTTATCTCCCTCCACCTCTTCTTTGTTCTGTTTCCCTTTTTCTTTCTTTCCCTCCCTTGTCCTTTCCTCCCCTCCTCTCCTTCTTTTTCTATCTCCTCCCTTTTTTTCACCCCTCCTTTTTTCTGCCTCTCCCACAACCCTCCCCCTATTTCTCTCCCCCACCTCTTCTCCTCTCCTGTTCTCCTCTCCCTCCGCCCTCATCTACAGGGCCTGGCACTTATATCGTCGTCGCTCACAGGATGGTGGTGATGGCGCCTGGCTGCTTCCTCGGACGTGGCCATTTTCTCCGCTCTCTCTCTCTCTCTCTACGGGATGACCTGTGGGGGCTACCATCCCCATGCTACTTCCTCAGGTTGACTTTCCTGCTGCTATGGCGTCGCACTGTCGCTAGCTCTCACTCGCTGCCTCTACGTCATGCTTCCCCTAGCTCGCACTTACTGCGTCACGATGTCGCTGTCTGTCACTCACTCGCTGCCTCACTAACTCACCCATTCACCCCCTTACTAAGTCATTTTCACTTATTTAACTTTCACTCTACACTCACCTTCACTCTATTCACTCATACAAACTCTCACTCATTGTCCCTCTCGAAAAACGCCAAGTAGTACCAAGAGTAATAATAATAATAATAATACCATCATTACTCAACACAAGATAACACACTACTACTACTTTATGGCCTCCAACACCCCCTTTATAACCATGCCTTCTCTACTACTACTTTATGGCCTCCAACACCCCCTTTATAACCATGCCTTCTCTACTACTACTACTCTTTTATGGCCTTCAACACCCCCTTTATAACCATGCCTTCTCTTCTACTACTACTTTTTTATGGCCTCCAACACCCCCCTTATAACTATGCCTTCTCTACTACTACTACTTTTTTATGGCCTCCAACACCCTCTTTATAACCATGCCTTCTCTACTACTACTACTTTTTTATGGCCTCCAACACCCCCTTTATAACCATGCCTTCTCTTTCTACTACTACTTTATGGCCTCCCAACACCCCTTATAACTATGCCTTCTTACTACTACTACTTTTTATACTCCAACACCCCCTCTTTATAACCATGCCTTCTCTACTACTACTTCTTCACTTTTTCATGGCCTCCAACACCCCTTTATAACCATGCCTTCTCTACTACTACTACTCTTTTATGGCCTTCAACACCCCCTTTATAACCATGCCTTCTCTACTACTACTACTCTTTTATGGCCTTCAACACCCCCTTTATAACCATGCCTTCTCTACTACTACTACTCTTTTATGGCCTTCAACACCCCCTTTATAACCATGCCTTCTCTACTACTACTTTATGGCCTCCAACACCCCCTTTATAACCATGCCTTCTCTACTACTACTACTCTTATGGCCTTCAACACTTTCTTTATAACCATGCCTTCTCTACTAATACTTTTATGGCCTCCAACACCCCTTATAACTATGTCTCTACTACTACTACTTCTTTTTATGGCTCCAACACCCCTTCTTTTATAACCATGCCTTCTCTACTACTACTACTTTTTATGGCCTCCCTCCAACACTCTTTATAACCATGCCTTCTCTACTACTACTACTCTTTATGGCCTCCAACACCCCTTTATAACCATGCTCTTCTTTCTATTTACTACTTTTATGGCTCTCCAACACCCCTTTATAACTATGCTCTTCTACTACTACTACTTCTTATTGCCTCCAACACCCCCTTTTTATAACCATGCCTTCTCTACTACTACTACTTTTATGGCCTTCAACACCCCCTTTATAACCATGCCTTCTCTACTACTACTACTCTTTTATGGCCTTCAACACCCCCTTTATAACCATGCCTTCTCTACTACTACTACTCTTTTATGGCCTTCAACACCCCCTTTATAACCATGCCTTCTCTACTACTACTTTATGGCCTCCAACACCCCCTTTATAACCAGGGCTGTGGAGTCGGAGTCGGAGTCGGAGTCGAGGAGTCGGAGTCGGTAAAATTGTCCAGACTCCGACTCCGACTCGCAAAGGTAAAGCGACATCGGAGTGAAAACGCAGCAGCGGTAGACATTAAAAATACGAGAGTTCAGCAAGATTTCTTTGGTGCACTGATGGAAGTGGAGAAATTTGACCGGTCTTCAAAAGTGACAGTGGAAGAAGCCATACCTGCTTACCCAGAGATTGTAAAAGATGTTGCTAGAGCTGTGACAGCAATGCCACCCACTCAGGTCAGTGTAGAAAGACTGTTTTCTGCACTGAAAATAATCAGATCAGATTTAAGGGCTTCCATGAAGGAAGGTCTGACTGAAGCTATTCTGTTCCTAAGAACAATTATATGAACTCAGGCATATTCATTGCAGTGATTCCACTGATCCCACTAATTTTCTTAAATTATTAAAAGAATTTATTTCCATTTTATAAGCATTATTATGAATTTATTGTAGCAGGCACAGTATAGCACTATAATTTTGGACGATAGTCTCTTCTTTACCATTTGAAATTTTGAATTATATCAAATTTTGTTTCGTTGAAAACTGCACAGAGGCTCTCAGCTACAAAACAATTAGCTACAACCTGTTTTTGGTGAGATTAAGGCAAATTTAATTTAATAACTTAATCATGTAAGGTTTATCCATTTTCCTTAATAAGGTATTCATTTCTTTAATGTACATAAATATATAACTTTACTTTAAAAGGAATTGTAGGATCATCATTTAGATCCACATCAGATTATGAGCTTAAACAAAATTCATATGCTGAGATCGAACTTTTAGATATACATGTAAATGGTGTTTTCTAGTTAATATCTTGAATTCTTAATAAATTTATTTTTCTTTTGATTGAAACTTTGAAAGTCAAGCCTATCATCTTTTTGTAGTTCTTAAATATCGTCCAGATCATTAATAAAGCTGTAGCAGTATAGCCACGGTGTTTTACTTTTTACCTATGCAGGTTACAACATACAAATTACAATTAGGATGGTAGAAATAGTTGTTACAAATAGGCCAAGGAGTCGGAGTCGGAGTCGGAAGCATAAAAATTTGAGGAGTCGGAGTCGGAGTCGAAGGTTTTGTCTTCGACTCCACAGCCCTGTTTATAACCATGCCTTCTCTACTACTACTACTCTTTTATGGCCTTCAACACCCCCTTTATAACCATGCCTTCTCTACTACTACTCTTTTATGGCCTCCAACACCCCCCTTATAACCATGCCTTCTCTTCTACTACTACTTTTTTATGGCCTCCAACACCCCCCTTATAACCATGCCTTCTCTACTACTACTACTTTTTTATGGCCTCCAACACCCCCTTTATAACCATGCCTTCTCTTCTACTACTACTTTTTTATGGCCTCCAATAACACCCCCTTTATAACCATGCCTTCTCTACTACTACTACTCTTTTATTGCCTCCAACACCCCCTTTATAACCATGCCTTCTCTACTACTACTACTTTATTGCCTCCAACACCCCCTTTATAACCATGCCTTCTCTTCTACTACTACAGTTGGAAATAGAAACGTTATGTGCATATTTGAGATTAAATTTTCGTTCTGTATTAAGATGTGACGACACCCGTGGATTCATATGTGGCCAGTCATGAAACACGTTAATGTTTCTCTTGTGTGTGTGTATTTTGTGTTTGTGAACGAGTGTGTGGTCATCCGTTTTAGGAGAGACTGTTGTCTGGTTAATTAAATTTGTTGTGTGGTTGTGTGAATTGTATGTTTGTGCGTGTGACAGAACCACACACACACACACACACACAACACACACAACACACACACACACACTAGGACCATGGTGTGTGTGTGTGTGTTATTTGGTGTGGTGGACCATTATGGAGGTTTGGCTACAGTGTGGTTAATTAAATTTGCTGCCTGGATGGATGTGGTGATCTGTCTGTATATGTGTGTATATATATATATATATATATATATATATATATATATATATATATGCAAGTAAATCACTGTAGGTGCGATATATATATATATATATATATATATATATATATATATATATATATATATATATATATATACTGTATATATGTGTGTGTGGCTGGGAGTAGGGCGAGAGTGTATTTGGGGTAGGTTTGTTTTTGTGGGTTTTGGAGACGGATGGGTGTGTTGGCGTGTGCGTGGGTCGTTTGTGAGAGAGAGAGAGAGAGAGAGAGAGAGATTGTGTGAGAGGGAGACTGGGCGCTAGAGTCTACTGTGGTAAACGTGTAATGTTTTTAAAGAAGAGTTGCTTATGGTGCTTGAAGAGCTTTTGTGTGTGTGTGTGTGTGTTACGGATGGTTTGGTCGGTCGTAATGGGGACGAGGATAATGATGGTGGATAATGGTTCTATTGGAGGGCACATTTGGAGTCCCTCTCAGCTCATGTTATTATACTTCACCAGGCCACAGTACCTGGATCACTACGTTACCTGGCCTCATAATCTGCAATTCTACCTTCGTCGGTAATGAGTAGCTATTCAGTGGTATCCGCGACCTGTAAGTTTCACCGTGATTGGTCTATTTACCTGGTGACTACTGGCTGACACCAGTACCTGATGTGTGCAGTGTAGTAGTGTAGTGTAGAATGTGTGTGTGTGTAATGTGGAACTAGTTGTGCAATGGTCAGCATGCTCGCTTCGCAGAGGAATGGAGCCAGGTTCGATTCCCTCGCAGGGTGAAACTATGGGCAAGTTTCTTTTTGCCATTACCCTCTGTCTACCCAGCAGTAATTGAGAACCTGGATGTTATTCGATTTTCGGATTGTGTTCCGGGGTAATGGTTAGCCAGTGCAGTTGGTGAGTTGTCCGGTCTTCTCTTCTCGTATTATTCCTTGACACTGGGTCATACAGCCGGTGTGTGGTTGATGTGTTGGCGACAGCTTCTACACCTTAAATAAATTCACGTCTAGGTGGCTCTATGGCCAGCCATCCAAGAACACGAGGGGCAACCATTATTATTTCATGTATTTCACCGTAGTGTGTGTGTGTGTGTGTGTTTGAATGAAATAGTTATACAGTGTACTCGATAAGTTATCTCCGCCGACAATATTCAGGACCTCTTGAAGTTTTGGTCAGGGGGTTTTGGGCACCAGTCTTGGCACCATCTGAGTTTTTTATGGGCATTTCCATCCCCGAATAGGGCAGTAAACTCTTAAGGGGGTAGAGGCAGGCAGAGAATCAGAGGCTGTGCTTGATGTTGTCGGGAGAGAGAAGGAAGAGAATAAGATGGGAGGTAACAACGTGAGGTGGAGAGAAAGGAGGGGCGGAGGTGGAGAGTATGGGCATAAAGTGGAAGGGAAGGGCGGGAGGTGGAAAGGAAGAACGTAGGGTGGAAAACAAGAACGTGGGGTGGAAAGGAAGAATGTGAGGTGGAAAGAATGTGGAGTGGAAAGAAAGAACGTGGGGTGGAAGGCAAGAACGTGGAGTGGAAAGGAAGAATGTGAGGTGGAAAGGAAGAATGTGGAGTGGAAAGGAAGAACGTGAGATGGAAAGAAAGAACGAACGTGGGGTAGAAAGAAAGAACGTGGGGTGGAAAGGAAGAATGTGAGATGGAACTCAATATACTGTACAGGCGATAAAGTTGTTAACTATAAACTTGATTGATGAAGAAGAGGAAGACGCTGATAAAACCCAAGGGAATGGAGGAAGTTGGGATAAAGAGGAAATAAGACGGAGTAGGAAGATGGCAAGGTAGAAGCCAGGGAAGAGACAACCAAATTAGTGGAGGAGGAGGAGGAAGAAGAGAAGGCAGAGAGGAGGAGAGGAAAAAGATGATAGTGTGAGAAGAAAAAGAAGAGATGGAGAGAAGGGAGAAGAAAATTATGTAAAAAGAGGTGATGGTGGGGAGCAGAGGAAAAAGATGGCGGAAGAGGAGACGGAGAGGAGGAAGAGGAGGGGGCCAAGGAGAAAGATAAGAGGGTGGTAGAGAAGGATGAGGAGGATGGGTCGGTGTAGGAAGAGGAAGACGGAGACAAGCAGCAGCAGAAGAAGTGGATAACAATAGCGTGAGTGAAGGAGGGAAGAAGGAAGGAGGAGAAACACTCAAGATACACGAGAAAGAGGAACAAACCCTTGAATAGAATAAAAAAAGGAAGAGGTCAATAAAATGAAAAGAGAGGAAAACGAAAATTAGCCGAGGAGAAAGATTGAAATAAAGTGAGGCGGAGGAAGATGCTGTAGTGTAGTGTCTAGGGAGGGAGGGAGGGAGGGTAGGAGAGGGGGGGGAGATGACGGAAGACCCATTAAACAATGGAGGTAATGTACAGGAGGAGGGAGGTAGGGGTAGATATGGTGGGAGGAGAGGGGGGGGAGGTTTGGGAGGAGAGGGGGGACAGGAGGAGAGGGGGTAGGGGTGGCTGGTGAGGAGAGGGGGGGGGGTAGGGTGGGGTTTGCAGGGAGGAGAGGGGGGGGGGTGGGGTTTGGGTGGAGGAGAGGGGGGTAGGATAGAATTGGTGTAGGATGGAGGAGGTGTTTAAGCTGGAGTGAGGGAGGGAGGAGATGTAAAAGTGGAGGAGGATGAAGTGGGAGGGTGAAAGATGGCGTGGGAGAGGAACGGGCATTGATAAATCGAGGATAAAAAGAAAGACAGAATTAACGGAGCAGGGATGTGTGAAAGGAGATAAGCAGGAGGAGGAAGAAGGGGAGGGGGAAGGGATAAGGAAGAGAGGGTTATGAGGAGGAAGAAAAGAGGGTGTGGGGAGAAGAGGAGGAGGGAAGGGATGATGATGAAAGGGGGGGGTGGGGCTGAGGAAGAAGAATAAGGAATGAGTAAGAGGAAAAGAAAGGGGTGAGGAGGAAAAGAGGAGGGGGCATGAGAAGTAGCTGTAGTTGTGATAGTAGTAATAGTAGTAGTATCCAACAGTGTGGTGAAGGAGGAGGAGGAAGGAACAAAACTACTCGAGGGAAGGAGGAAGGCCAATATATAATTAGTGAAGGATAAAAGGCATAGAGGAACGTGAAGGGGTAGGGGGGGTAAAGGGGTAGGGAGGGTAGTGGTAGGAGGGGGACACTGGTGGGGGTAGGATCAATGGAGGTGGTAATAAGGAGTCTCCGTCGGGACTAGAAGGAGGAAGAGGATCCTAAGAGTGAGAAAAATTGGGTCAGACGCCACAAGACCCGTCTGATGGTGTGGTAGGACCTGCTGGGACGACCTGGAATTGATGGGAGGACCTGGGCCTTATAAAGACGACCTGGGCCTTATAGAGACGACCTGGGACTAACATTGAGATTATAGGAAGACCTGGGATGTCCTGGAGTTTGTTGGAGAAGCCCTCAGACCTAGTGGGGACGACCTAGGGCTTGGTGAGGAGCTTCAGTACCGGGGACATCACCAAACACAACACCAGTACCGGGGACATCACCAAACACAACACCAGTACCGGGACCAACACCAAACACAACACCAGTACCGAGGACATCACCAAACACAACACCAGTACCGAGGACATCACCAAACAACACCAGTACCAGGACCATCACCAAACACAACACCAGTGCCAGGGCCATCACCAAACACAACACCAGTACCGAAGACATCACCAAACACAACACCAATACCAGGACATCACCAAACACAACACCAGTACCGGGACCAACACCAAACACAACACCAGTACCAAGGACATCACCAAACACAACACACCAATTACCAAGGACATCACCAAACAACACCAAGGGACATCACCAAAACACAACACCAATACCAGGGACATCACCAAACACAACACCAATTGCAGGGACATCACCAAACCTAACACCAGTATAGGGACATCACCAAAACCTGACACCAATTACCAGGGAACATCACCAAACACAACACCAGAGACCAGGAACATCACCAAACACAACACCAGTACCAAGACATCACCAAACACAACACCAGTACCAAGACTTATCACCAAACCTAACCACCAGTACCGAGACATCACCAAACACAACACCAATTACCAGGACCATCACAAAACCTAACTTACCAGTACCGGGGACATCACCAAACACAACACCAGTACCGGGGACATCACCAAACACAACACCAGTACCAGGGACATCACCAAACACAACACCAGTACCGGGAACATCACCAAACACAACACCAGTACCGGGGACATCACCAGCAGTAAAAACTTTGTACTGTACTGGTCAGGGAACAAAGAATAGCCTGGAGGAAGGGGATTAAGAATGGTGTGTGTGTGTGTGTGTGTGTGTGTGTGTGTGTGTGTGTGTGTTACTCTACCCTGGAAGAGCTGGGTTCGTTCCCTGACACCGACATACTCCTTTGTCAGATGTGGGTGAGAGACCAGTGTCAGCGGAGTCTTATATCACGTCGAGTTTCAGTTTAGTTTCGGAGTTGGGTGAGTTAGTCTCGTCTCCCATATACAGTACAGTATATACGATGCACGAAATAACCATAATGAACCACAGTCGTCAGAAGTAATCTCATCTAAAACAACTGGGGTTAAGTTCCGCTCTTCCGCCCGCCCATCCATCCCATCCATCCATCCATCCATCCCCCCTCTCCTCCTCTCTCTCTCTCTCCTCTCTCTCTCTCTCATGTATATATTTTACGTTCCTGATATTTATGCAATTGCCCACCCCCAGAACTACTGGCTACAACAGGAGCTACTGGCTGGCACCCTCCCCGACCGTGACCCCTCCTCCTAGGGCGTCACTGCACCCCTTTCTCCCGACCGTGACCCCTCCTCCTAGGGCGTCACTGCACCCCCTTCTCCCGACCGTGACCCCTCCTCCTAGGGCGTCACTGCACCCCCTTCTCCCGACCGTGACCCCTCCTCCTAGGGCGTCCCACTGCACCCTACTCCCGACCATGACCCCTCCTCCTAGGGCGTCACTGCCTCCCGGCCATGCCCCTCCTCCTAGGGCGTCACTGCACCCCCCGTCTCCCGACCGTGACCCTCCTCCTAGGGCGTCACACCACCCCCCATCTCCCGACCGTGACCCCTCCTCCTAGGGCGTCACTGCACCCCCTACTCCCGACCGTGACCCCTCCTCCTAGGGCGTCACTGCACCCCCTACTCCCGACCGTGACCCCTCCTCCTAGGGCGTCACTGCACCCCCTTCTCCCGACCGTGACCCCTCCTCCTAGGGCGTCACTGCACCCCCGTCTCCCGACCGTGACCCCTCCTCCTAGGGCGTCACTGCACCCCCGTCTCCCGACCGTGCACCGCTATTTCCATATTGAAAATAGCAGCGCACGTTGGAACAGCGTAGCGCCAACCTCCATAATTTGATTTATGGAGGGAAAATTGGCTGGTTTCTAAGTGGGTGTTGATGGGCCGGGGGCGTGTGTCAACGTGGTATGTGTCATTGAGCGTGTGGATGTGAGTGTGTCAGAGTCGTGTGTATCATGGGGCGTGTTATCTGGTATGACATAGGAATGTGTGTTGTTTTGGGTGTAGGTATTATTTGCGTGTGTTTTCGGTATGTGCATGTCAACTAGGGTGTGTCCTGACATGTGTCACCGAGGCTCATCACAAGAAATGTGGCACAAGGTTGTCATAATGGGCGTGTCACCCGGTGCGTGTCAGCTGAGGCGTGTCACCTGTTGACAGTTGGGTTGGTTAGTTCTTACCTTATAACCAATCAGGACGCAGCGAGACGGAGGGGAAGATTGGGTCCTGGGGAGCTGTGGGGAAGGGGGGTGGAATTGAGGTAGGCGTGAGGAATCAAGAAGGCTGGGGAGGGTGTAGGGAGGGGGAGGGTGGGGAATTAGTATTTTTTTGGGGGGTTAAACCGATGGAGGTGTGGTAGGTGCTGAGGGAGGAGGCAGCTTTGAGTATGGGACGTGGTGGGTGGAGCAGCAGGGATGATGGAGGGCAGACAAGCAGTAGTAGGGGGAGGCGGTGAAGAGGTGGTTAGTTGGTGGGAGGAGAAGGGATCAGTGGTGGGGAGGTGGCTGTGCAGGGAGGGATCAGTGGTGCAGGGGAGGAAGGTAAGCTGTGCAGGGAGAGAAAGGGGATCAGTGGTGGGGGAAGGAGTCAGTGGTGGGGAGGAAGGTAGCTGTGCGGGGAGGAGAAGGGATCAGTAGTGGGGAGGAAGGGAGCTGTGCGGGGAGAAGGTTGTTGATGGTGGGGAGAAAGGGAGCAGTGATGGGGAGGGAAGGAACAGTTGTGGGGAGGAAGGGAGCAGTGGTGGGGAGGAAGGGAGCATTGGTGGAGAGGAAGGGAGCAGTGATGGGGAGGGAGGGAGGGAGCACCACCCACCAGGATCTTTTGTCTCACACACACAATACCCTCCCTGCTCGTCTTGCCTCCTCCTGCCACATTTTCCCGCTCCTAGCTATAAAACCGGCGCCAGCATGAGCAATCATAAGCGCCTGGCGTACCCCCTTCTCCCCTCAGTGACACGCTTACGGAAGTTAACATCGCACGAACGTTCACTCTACCTCCAGTGACTGTAGTTTAATACATACGAGTCTTGTCATGTTTATTGTGTGTTGTTTATTTTAAGGGAATTTTATACAGTTTATGGTGAAAATTCCTGGTTTGTTGACAGTGGTGCCAGATAGTTTTATATGGTGAGCAGCAGAAGGGGGTCAGGTCAGGTCAGGTCAGGTCGATACCCTTGACTGGCACTCTGGCCACCGTGAATATTTTAACTGAATTTCTCTCACCTATCTGGCCGGTACAGTGAGTGTGGTATGAATGTATATCATGGTGTACCGTTACCACAGTCATCACCTGGCCTTCACCTCGTTGGCTACTTTGTCATCATTTTTGGTTTATATCGTTTTCTGTATTATATCTCAACCCTTTATCACGATGAGTTTTGTTTTGAATTACTTTTTTTTTTTGCCTTAGTGTTGCCGTCTGATGTGTTTTGTTTATTAGGAGTGGAAGGTGACGTAGTGTTGGTAACTTGGTCGTGGAGTACAGGTGACTTAGTGGTTCTTGTATACTGTACTGTTAACTTTCTCCTCCTTGTACCCATCACTGACTGGAGTTTTGTGTAGTCTCTCTCTCTCTCTCTCTCTCTCTGTTTTTCTTTTTCTCTCGTCTCTTTATCTCCTCTCCCATCCCTTCTCTTTTATCTTTCTCATCTTTTTTCTCTTTATCTGTGTATCTTTTTCTCCTTTTTTTCTTCTATCTTTCTCTCACTCTCTGTTGGGAGTAGCAGTGGTGACGTCAGATAGGAGCCGCTTGGTCTCATCTCTGTTGGTAATGGGAGGTAAATTGGTCAGCGCCGGCGGCCTCCAGACACCCTGGTTCATTGACCTCCATCTCCTCCCCAGGTGCTGGCCCTTCCAGGGACCTGGCCCCCTCGCCCTGTATCTCAGTGACGTCACCCTCTGCATTTCGGGAAGGTCACTCCCTGTACCCAGAAATGCTGGCCCCCTTGTACTCCAGGTTACAGAGGTGGCGTATCTTGATTACAGGGGGGTGGCATCTCTTGATTACAGGGGGGTGGCAGCGACATTCTCACGTTACAGGGAAGGGCGACATTCCTACGTTACAGGGACAGCCGACTCCATGCTACCCTGTATCCAGAGACCCAATTTTGTCCACGGAATGTCTTTATTTGCCTCCTGGGTATAATTCATTAAGGCTGTACCTCCATGTAAACAACGTCTGCGCGCGCTGGGGTTTTCATAATTGTGTTATTGCTGTGAGTTGAGGGTGAAAAAGGTCAGCACTTGAGGCGGGTCTCAGTGTTATCATCGTGCGGGGTGAGTGAATGAATGGGTGAAAGGGTGAGTGAGTGAGTGGAAGGCTTTGTTAGTGGGGAGGTGAGTGGTAGAGAGAGAGGGAGAGTGAGTAAATGAGAGGGAGAATGAGTGGTAGAGAGAGAGTGTGAGAGTGAATGAGTAGGAGAGGGGAAGATTTTGTTAGTGGGGAGGTGAATGAGAGGTAGAACGAGTGGGAGAGGGAGAATGAGTGGATGAGAGGGAGAAATAGGTGAGATAAGTGAGTGAATGAGAGGGAGAATGGGTAAGTGAGTGAGTGGGTGAAAGGGAGGATGAGTGAATAAGTGGGAGGAGAGCTTCGAATCTCTTCAATCATAAAGGAGGAACGTCCTTACTCTCTCCTTTTCCTCGTTAATTGGCGGTTTTACTTCACCCATTATGAGGGGAGAATCCTGACCCTCTCCTCTGCTTCACCCATTATGAGGGGAGAATCCTGACCCTCTCCTCTGCTTCACCCATTATGAGGGGAGAGTCCTGACCCTCTCCTCTGCTTCACCCATTATGAGGGGAGAGTCCTGACCCTCTCCTCTGCTTCACCCATTATGAGGGGAGAGTCCTGACCCTCTCCTCTGCTTCACCCATTATGAGAGTCTTGACCCTTGCGAGGTAGAGGTTTAATTCCCCTCATAAAGATAAGACGGAAGCCCTCACCTCCTCCCCATCGTAAAGCGAATGTCTCCGTAATGAGGAAAGAGGAACCTCAACATGTCCTCCTGTATGAGAGGGAGAGACTTCACTTCCCCATTAAGACTGAGTGGAGTCTTGGCCCTCTTCAGATCCTGGTGAGACAGAGGCCTCTTCTTCCCGTCAAGTGGGCAGAGAATCCTTGTTCCTCTTTCTTCGTTAAGTGGACACAATCCATGTTCCTTCTGCCTCGTCACAAATTGGGAAAAAAGTTCTTGTCCTCTTTTCTCAATCGTTAAGGTTTCATCCATATTTACAACGGGGAAGACTCCAGGCATCCTCTTCCCCATCTTGGAAGTGTCCAGGTATCCTCCTCCCCATCTTGGGAAAATTTATTTTGATCTTGGAAAAGAATCCTCGTATCTTCCTCCCCATCCTGGAAGAGGATCCTCTCACCCTTCTGGTGAGTTAGCGGCGGGCGGGGTGAGGGGGGAGTGGGGAGAGCCGTCCTCCTTAGCGCAGGTGATTGCCTTCTGCCTTTCAATTACGCCCCAGTTTTTGCCCTGCCAACTTTGTTGCTGGTCGTCTCGGTGTGGACACGGAAGTCTGCTCTCAGGCAGGAGGCTTTCCCCAGCGTTTATCTTGTGCTGTTTGTCCTAGAGATTGTGTTTGTCCTTGTGTCGTGCTTGGCCTGGCCTGCTACCGACTGCTACATCCTGCCCTTAGTCTTACCCCGTTCTGTCCTGTCTTGTTCTGTCCACTTCGTGCACCCTCTTAATTCTGTATATCTGTCGCTTGTCTTATAAAGGGGCCCTACTGGAGGCAGAAGGGCGGGGAACATTCATCAGGCG